GGATTGTGGTGGGCAAAATTCTATGGTGCCCATATTTGGCAAATCCAATTAATCTTTTGATATTTGTCATCCCACTCTTAATACAAGTTAAGGCAAAATTCGAATATAGATTTAATACCTGTTTTTGCTGTCCTCAAAATAAATACATAAGCTCATTATGAAGGCTCAGTAGTGCTCACCTGTGGCAAGGCTGCTTCTGAAATTCCATACAAATAGATTTTAAATACAGGCTTATAAGGAAGGCTGAAACTACAGCCATTTGCAAACGGTAGTCATTTAATTCACTTTTTTACATACAAAAAGTTTAAAGAATAGGTATATACTCGTTAATGAACATTTGTTGTGTTGCTTCTAAGATAAAAATCTGAGTTAGTGAAAAAAAAAACTTCATTTCCAGATAAAAGTGCAGCAAAGTTGGAAATTGAGTTTTGCCTAGGTTTTTTTCTTTTTCCAGAGTGTGCAAGACTAGCATTCTTATCATGTACAGGCATACCAAGTCTTCCTTACTGAGAAGGGAGATGATGTTGCCACCATCTTAATTAAGAGAAAAAAAATCAACTAAGATCTAATAGCAAAAGATGCATACAGGAAGCTTGTTAATGGAAAACTTGACTTTTTTGGATGGAAGACAGCTACATTGAAGACCAGAAAGGAAACATGGTCATTAAGCTAATTAATTTGGGTCCTTCAAATCTTCAAGTGGTGTCAGTATGACATTGGGCCAGTTCCTTAGTCTCTCTATACCTCAGTTTCCTGAACTGTGTGGTGACTATACCAATAGGATTTACTTCTTAGGGTTGTTAGATGTCAAGCCCTTAGAACATAACTGAGATGTAGTAAACCCTCAATAAAAGCTACCTCACTTTCTCCCACTTTCTCAAAGAAATGTTAGCATCACAGGAGAGGAGGAGCTTTGTCTTACTTAGTGCTGTGTCCTCAGCTTCTAGCTTTCCCACAGTAGACACTCAATAAATATTAGGTGGATGGATAATTAATGACAATAGCGAGGATTTGAGGCTGAAAGGAAAAAAGTTCTGAGTTTGACAGCTAATGAGGAAAAAATAGACCTTGGGTTTAGAATAAGCTAAGGAGGGAGGAAAGAACCCTAAACTAAGATTAGAAGATTCACATTCAAGTTTAAAATCTTTTTTAATTTTATATTTTAAAAATTTTAAAAAGATTTTTTATTTATTTGTGGGGGGAGAAGCACAACCAGACAGCAGGCTCCCCACTGAGCAGAGAACCTGACTCAGGGCTTCATTCCAAGACCCTGAGACCATGACCTGAGCTGAAGGCAGACACTTAACCAACTGAACCACTCAGGCAACCCCTCAAGTTTAAATTCTTTTAGGTCTCTGGGTGTTGAGACTAAGATTTTCTTTCTTAACTTGTAAAATGGAAATAATTCCCAAGGTTATTCTGAGGATTACATTAAGGTGTATGTAAAAGTTCGCAATAAATTAAAAAGGGATATACAAACACGTGATGTTATTAATTTTTATCTCAGTAAGTTTATCCATTGGATGACAATAAAATGATTCTCTGAGAGTCTTGGAAGAAAGAATCTTTAGCTAAAGATGTAAGTACTAAAAATATTCAACCCCAGAGGTACCACAGACATAGACTAATTTTTTCCATCTGTGCAGTTTAGGGTAGATTTGGCATACGCTCAATACCAGGCAAGAAAGAAACTATGGTTTAGGCTGCTTTGAAAGTTAAAAAAAAAAAAAGGCAGAAAAGGAAACTATTTCCTTTTATAAGCATGAATGTTAAAATAGAGAAAACCTTCATCGAATAATTTACCACTGAAGCAGGACTATTTGAGCAGTATTCTCTCTCGCCTTCCCCACTCCCCACATACGTTCTAATTAGTTAGTTGTTTCATACATCACGATTTATAGATTATGGTCACTTCCTCCTCACCAAAGTAAAACAATATAGATTATTCTTTATCAGCCATGTGTGACTCAGAGGTCAAAAGAGCAATTCTTTGTAGGATACTCTCCCTAGATTCATACTATTTAAAGACCTGGTTTTCAGACCCAGGGATTATATAAAATATTATGGCCTTAAGATTAGCCCCCACCCAAGATGCCTCAACAGAAGAGCCTGAATTTGAGGTTGAGAAACTGACATGAGGAAAAAGATAAAGGAGAAAAAAAAAGCCACAGTGGGTCAGCAGATGACTCACTGTCCCTTCCTTGAACTTCAGGAATGACAGGATGGAAGAGGAAAAAAAAAGAGGCGGTGCCCCACTGCAGACCAGATGTTCCATGAAAGTCAAGAACCTCAGGGAACTTCATGATCTATGTATGTTCTTAGGGTAAAGGCAATAAATGCAATTTCCATGGTTGAGTTGTTAAGTGCATCCACGAAAGGACACCAGGAGAACTAAGCTTGATTGCACTTCACCCTCAGAGCTACCATCCTAAATCAGATGGTCTTGTCCTCCCACTTTAAAACCTCAATCACTACACATTGCTATTGGACAAAGTCTAAACTGAACAGTGGCATAGACTGTTCTCCATTGCAGCATCTCAACCTTGGTAGCTTTATTTTCTAATTACTTTTTTTTTTTTTTAAGTAGGCTCCATGAGACACCTGGGTGGCTTGAGGGTCTGCTTTTGGCCCAGGCCGTGATCCTGGAGTCCCAGGATCAAGTCTCACATCAGGCTCCTTGCACAGAGTCTGCTTCTCCCTCTGCCTGTGTCTCTGCCTCTCTCTCTCTACCTCTAATGAATGAATGAATGAATGAATCAATCAATCAATCAATAGTAGGCTCCATGCCCAGCATGGAGCTCAACACAGGGTTTGAACTCACGACCCTGAGATCAAGAGCTGAGCTGAGAACAAGAGTCAGATGCTTAACCCCTGAGCCACCCAGGCACCCCCCTAAATTCATTCTTATCACATATCTTGGAAGGTATAGAGGACTACTTATAATTTGCCAGATAAAGCCAGATACGTTTAAGCTCCAGTGCATTTGTTTATACTATTCTCTCTGTCCAGAACTCTCATCCCAGCTGGCAAACCCCTAACTGTACTTCAAAGCCTGGCGAAAGTATTATTTCTTGTCTGTAGCTTTCTCGACTCCCACTCGCTCCTACTACTCAGAGAGATTGTTCTTTCATCTATGGTGTCTCTGAACTCTGAGCATTTATTTGTTAAATCACTTATCCTGATGCATTAGGTAGATGCATCAGGTTTATCCTCTTTCCAACTCACTGCGTTCTCCACGAGGGCAATTGTGAGGCCATCATTGTTCAATTCTTGGCACACCATATGGGCATAAGACAGATTTGTTGGATTGAATTAAATATTAGAAGAGGGCCAAAGCATAAATGGGTTTTCTAGGCCTACGAATTATGCCAGGACTAGGAGCTCTGCTAAATCTACATATACGGTTCTGCTTTTGTTCTTTTTTTTTTTTTTTAAGATTTTATTTATTTACTCATAGAGACAGAGAGAGGCAGAGACACAGGCAGAGGGAGAAGCAGGCCCCATGCAGAGAGCCTGACGTGGGACTCGATACAGGGTCCAGGGTCTCCAGGATCACACCCTAGGCTGCAGGCGGCACTAAACCGCTGCGCCGCCACCTGGGCTACCTCTTCTGCTTTTGTTCTTTTTTTTTTTTTTTTAAAGATTTTATTTATTTATTCATGAGAGACACACACAGAGAGAGAGAGGCAGAGATCCAGGCAGAGGGAGAAGCAGGCTCCATGCAGGGAGCCCGATGCGGGACTCGACCCCGGGACCCCAGGATCACACCCTGGGCCGAAGGCAGGCACTAAACCACTGAGCCACCAGGGATCCCCTAAGCCACCAGGGATCCCCTGCTTTTGTTCTTATCAGGGTGTGTGTCATTTGCTTTTATTAAGAAAGTGTCAAAAAAAAAAAAAAAACCACCAATGTCACAAATATATTTCTTTAGATAAAACATTATTAATACATTTGTAGCTTAGAACTGACCTTCCCATAACCTCGTTAGCTAAAAGGTAGTTGAATAATTTGAAATATTCTCCAGCTGGAATGGGATCACCTTTGGGGGTTGCTTTAATCACTGCACCCCTGTCTTGCTTTTGCTCTTCAAAGAGCCCCTCGACCATAGTCTTTGAAGGCATGAGCACAAGGAAAACCAGATGAACTCTGCTCAGTTTTAAACTTGCCACTTTCTCTCCTCTAGTATCAAACTTTTCTTCTCTAATTAATTGAACAAGTGAACTGAAGATGTATATAATGTAGTATCAAAATATTTTTTTAAGCTCTATTCATCATGCCACCTTGTTCCAAAAAGTCTTTAAGAGAGGTTAAAGGGGAAAAAAAAAACCAAACAAACCCCAAATCCCAAACCAAATTGTTACACATTTGGTCCACATTTGTCTATAGAATCACAGCACTGATCATCAGTCCATGTGAAAGACTTTTGGAAAGTTTTCCGGGTACTAGTAATAGCATTTCCTGAAGTTGGATCTTGGTTTATAGCAAAGGATTCTGTTGATGCCACAGGTTGCTTCTATCTTATGATCCAGTATGAGTGTTCAACCTTGAAATCAGCCTCAGAGGCCTCCTTTTAGGATACATAACAAGGTACGTGTTCCCTAGCATGGATCCTGGCTAAATAAAATTGTAGCTGATTCATGCCTACAAGTGCATCTGAAGACAGCATAACAAACAAGAGCAGGAGCTCTGGAGTCAGTCTGTCTGAGTCAGAATCTGGCCATACCTCTGACCGGTTATCTGACCTTGGAGAAGCTGCTTTAACCTCTCTATGCCTCACCTGTGTCATCCGTGAAAATGGAATAATATCTACCTCGTGGGTGTGTCATGTGGAATAAGTGAATGAAATCTGTAAAGAGTTTAGAACATGGTACATGGTACATGGTAAGCACTCAATAAATGTCAGCTCTTGTGTGACTTTCACATTTTGGGGTAAGAAAAATGGGTATGATAAAAAAATCAAAGGAAGGCTGGTAATTTTTACAATAGAACTTTATTTACAAAACCGTGACTCAAGTCTGTTTTGGTATCACTATCAACAAAATGCCTATGGCCAAGGTATTACAAAGGCAATATACTGATTTTAGCTATACCTAAAACCACAATCCAGCACTGTCCCATTTCCTATTCCTGTGTGGCTCTGAATGCAGTTTAAAACAAAAACAAAACTCTCTTTATAGTGTACAATGGCTTAAGCAAAAACACTTCTTTTTTTATTATTTTTGTTTTTTTTTTAAGCAAAAACACTTCTTTAGTTTTTTCCTATTCAAGGGTTGGAACTGAGACTACTCATTTATTTTGCTATTTACAGAGAAAGTCCTAAGGAATAGAATAACTTCAAGTTGGATCTGCTTTCATGACATAATAACCAGAGGACTTTAGAAAAATGTAAATAAATAATGTTGGCAAACAGTATATATTGATAATTTTGTGACAAATTCATTTACCTAACATTGTGCCAAGGATTAGGAGAATTTCTCCAAACATTTTAAACTTTCAACTTATTCCATTTGCTGATTCACAAAGTCTTGCTCCATTTTAAGGAGTTTTCACCAACATAATGCAGGATAACCAGTACCTATGGAAACTCAACAGCTTGGTTAAAAAAATTTCCTGTTAAACTTTAATCCCCAGTTGAGCTTGTCATATGTATGCATGGTTATACGCATGGATATATGTTTGGTTGACATACACACACATATACGTACTAATGCCTCTTATTCAAGAATGTAAAATCAATGGTATCCTGTATCTAGTAGTTGCATGAAACCCCCCCCCCAAGATTGTGAGGTAGTTGAGTGACACACGAAATGACCTTCTCCAATCTGAATTCTAGAATACACCTTTACCACGTGGAGGGGTGAAGAGAGGAAGAGGAATCAGTAGAAGGAAAGAACTAAAAATGGCTCAAATTAAATTCATGTAACAAATCTGAGATAGCAAATAAATAAATCAATAAATGTCCCATTTGCCCTCCCCAAAAGAGAAACTGGTAGTAAATCCTTACTAATACTTTTACAGTTGATCCATTACTGTGTATTTTAAATAGGAAAGAGTCTGAATATCATACATATCATAATCCCAATCATCGAATACATTCCTCTGCTGAGATATCTAATGTGTCTTCATCTGTGCTCTCCTCTATCTCTGGCAGGTTGCCCCAAAGTAGGAAGTTTACACCTGAAGAGAAGAGATCATATAATTACTCAGTACTATTACAACTCAGAACATGCTATATGAAACCATAGCGTTAACAGTAAAGAGAAAAGGTATTAGGGTACCGTGGGTAAAAATGATCTTATATATATATATTCATTTGGGACATAAACATTTTTAAAGCCCGTTTAAGCAAGGCTTTGAATTCTAAAATCTGAGCTCCAAACGACCTCAAGAGGCCATTTCCTCAAACCCTGCCCCCAACTATATTATGCCATAGTCACTCTACAATGATAATTTTCAAATCTATTTTATTGATATTTAAGGATGGCAATCTCACAAGATTATTTTATTTTTAAGGTTTTATATATTTACTCACGAGAGACACAGAGAAAGAGGCAGAGACATAGGCAGAGGGAGAAGTATGCTCCCCCACAAGGAGCCTGATGTGGGACTTGACCTCAATACCCCGGGATCACAACTTGAGCCAAAGGCAGATGCTCAATCACTGAGCCACCCAGGTCCCCCTCACAAGATTATTTTAGATTAAGTGTCTCTTTGGAGGGCACAGGGAAAAGGCTTAAATAAGTCTCCTCATCTCCTCAACAAGCATGGAAGTAGCTGATGGCTTTTTTGTAATTTAAAAAAAGCAAGGTTTTGAAGTCAGTTCTAATATGAACTGCAATCCTTTCATTTAGGATTTAGGCTATAGCTGCCAATACAATAAACAAAACAACAATGTAAAGCCTCATAGTGAAAGGACAGTCAGACTTCATACTGAAGAATCTAGCATAGGCATATAGTAAAATATCACACACAATAGAAGATAATGAGATAGTTTATTCTGGGCACGTACTATATTACATAACTTGGAAGTACTAAATTGGGGAAAAAAATATTAGGAGAGCTGATGGTGTCCAACAAGGAAAGCAAATCTCATGCTCTCCAGTTGTCGGTGTGGATACAAGGACTGAGTAACCTGGATACTCACTCCATACACACTGAGATAGTGGCCACGTAGTGAAATGGAATAACCAGGGTTTGGCGATTTGGCTTGAATCTAGTTTCCACTACTACCAGTACCCTATGGATGTTGTTACTACCTTTACTACAAATGTATGCAACCGCAGACTATGTATTATTTTGTGTATTTAAATTTTTTATAGTATGGGATTATATGTATCTTTTCTAATTGGCTTTTTTCATTCAACATTATGCTTTTGAGATTTACCTATATCCATATATACAGCTTTAGCTCATTTCTCTTAATTTCTGTATTCTGTTGTGTAAATTAAATATATAAATAGCAAATACATACATATATAGCAAATAGAGCTCATCATTCATCACTTCCTCTAACTGCCTATCTTCTGCAAGTATTCAAGGAGACATGTCCAAGGAGGTGCATTGTTGCATTGCTCAAACCATGTAAATAATCAACTGTCTCTCTTGGTTGAGATACTAGAATCTAATCCGGTAAGAAGTTAGCATCTATTTCATGCAGGGGGTGGGGGGGTATATAGATGTCTATCATATTACTTTCTATAATTTTTTGTGTGTTTGCATTGTTTATAATAAAAAATACCCCCCCCCCCGCCCCAGACTGAACAGTATTCTGCTTCTGGTAATATGGCACTGAGAAGCTAACAAGAATTACTAGGCCAAAATCTAAGGGATAATTAGAAACCATAAAGGGTGAATGAGAGCTGAAGTCAATTTGCCTTTGAGGGCATTTGCCAATCCCAGGGAATCTGAAGGTTCCTCAAGCTCCTCAGGAAGTTTCAGGAAATCGGGTCGACATGTGAAGCCTAGCTTAGAACAGAGACTTGGGGCCTTTTCAGTCTAAACATTCTAGAATTTCATAAAGCTTGTGTATATATTCCTTTGATGCTGCTGACTCAGGTGATTCAAGGACAGTCCCAGCATCATGAGAAAACCTGTTTTATAGCAAGCATCTAGAAAGTCTTGCTTTAAATCACAGTATTGGGGTTACAAAGGAGAAGTTTGATATTCTTGGAGTGAATACTTAGAGACACAAGTAGCTCGGCACAATTGGTTCAAAGGAGAAAAAATAAACTAAGAGATTGGATCTGACAGAAGGAGCACCTTCCTTTCTCTGTTAAGAAGGGAGGAAGGAAATCCTGTGATACATCTGTTTCTCATGGATTAGATTCAATGCGAATGGAAGAATGCGGGGCTTTTATCTTTGAAAAATTGACCAATATTAAAAAGTAAATCAAAATGGAAAAATCCCCACCCTGTGTTTTGAATTCTATGATGCAAGAAAAATAGTATCAAAGCAGAAACGTCCTTTAATGTGTCCCATGATCAACATAAGTATAAAACTAGAGCCCTAAGCTAGGAGCCTGTATCTCAGGGGAGTTCAGATAAGCCCTTCCTCAAAAATGGCCCTCTTTACATCCCAGAGTCTGAAATTAAGACCCGCAAATGATGGGCTGAGAGCTACAATTGAACACCAGGTGATTAAAAAAAATCAGTCTATAAAAACCCAAGCGTAACTGGCGGATTTGAGATCCTGAGGACCTAGCTTACAATTCATGATCATTACTCTGTGAAGGCAAATCATCCTTGAGAAAGGAATATATTTTAAGTTCTGAAGTACATTTAAAAACCTGAGAGCGTGAGTGCCAACCTGGATTGTTGAGTTCTTTAAATTTGTTCTGTCAACTTTAGTTTCCACTAAGAAATCCCACTAAAAGTCAGCTTGATCTGTTGTGTAAAATGGATAGACAGAGAAAACAGGTGTCCTACAACAAAACGACATCATTCCAGACAATATAAAATGTATTATGTAAATATCCTTTAAGAATTGATTGTATATTAAGTAGTAATTAGTATAACATACTGGCTTTAAATATTTCCCTTGAATAAAATTCCATCATGGTTTATTAATATAGATGTCCAAGTGTCTGTTTTTATCCTGGAGCAACACCACCAAATACAAAGGTTACCTACCTAGTCATCCTCCCTCCCAGCTCCCCACTGCCCCAGCCTCCTCTCCTTGCTTTCTTACACACACACACACACACACACACACACACACACGCACAATTGACCAGTAAATCTAAAATCTTCCAAAATTCTCTGGAGCTATAAGGTACACCAAGGCAACAATTTAGAGCAACTAACATATTAATTTAGGAAGATCAAGAAGAGCGTATGGCCATACCACCGTGAATGCACCCGATCTTGTCTTAAAAAGACCAAGAAGAGCCACATTTGAGGCTCTTACACACAATAATGACAACAGACATGGTGACGAATCTTGGCTAGTAGTTTCCCTAACTGAATGTTTCAGAAAGCACTGAAACTGAAAGCACTCAAGTTTCACTCTTTCAACCCATGTAAGAGGGTTTCAGAGGGAGTCCTAAAACGATCAACTGGGAGTTTCACTCAGGTATTGATAGACATATAAGTGTTAGGGGAATATCTGAGTCAATTGTTTCTTACCAGTAGAGTCTAGTCTGTTGATATCATAAACTGCCTGGCTGTGAAACATCCAGAAGTGCCCATTGTTGCAGGAAAGAAGGCAGGAACAACACGGAACAATCACATGATAACCTACAATGTTCCCACTGAGACAGAAAGCAAATATAGTTAGATACCACCTAATAACTGGCCATATACGCATTTTTATGTGCTAAAGTAAATACATAGACCATATGAAGACCTCATTTCCTCCTAACAACCTCCATTGCTAGGACCTTTGGGATAGGAGTTACTCTGGTAATGTTAAATTTGACAGTGCTACTGCCAAATGGGAAAATGGCCTTTCAGTGAAGTGAAACAGTACTAACACATTCTCCATTTCTTCGCTAGTATTAGTTTATGTGTTCTCCTTCAGCTAGCTTCTGGATGCCATGCTCTAGGGTTGTGGTATGTTCTGTAAAGCACCCAAAGTAGATGTACCATACACACAAAATACATGAAATAAACTCAGATCTCTAGGTCAAAAGGGTTTTTGCTATCCCCCAGGACTGTGGCAGGTCAGGTTCTTCTATGTTCTAGCTCTATGCCAGCACCTAAAATTGTTTCAACAGATGGAGGAGTAGGAAGACAGCATGAGCCCCTGTAAACCAAACACAAGCTGGCTGCTCTAATTTTAGTTTTAGTGTTTTTGAAGGAATTCAGAAATAAAGCAAATCCTTAGCTTCTAGAGAGTTGCAAAAGTTTTTACTGTCTTCAGGATTATCCATCTGATCATAAGTACCTCACTTTTCCACAGATTTTTTTTTTTCCTATGTGGTCACTATTATATAGAGTGAATATGCAAGGCATGTTTTAGCTAGTGCTTTAAAAAAAATGACAACATGAACTACTTATACCTTGGGTTGTAAAAATTCTTATTTATAGCTTGTTCCCACCCTGTGAGATGTGGGAGTCAGCCATTTTTGTAAGGCCCTATCAAAGATACTATAAAAGGTACCAGCCTACCTAAAATATGTCTTCAAACCATAATCTGCTTGAAAGGCAAACAAATGAAAGCAAGTTGTTCTTGGACCAGGACTGACAGTTATTTGTAAGACTATATTGCAAAAGTAGATTCTATGCCTTTAATCATCATCCATATTCATTCACTCGTTTAACTCATGTTTATTGAGCATCTACTATGTGCCAGGTACTGTTCGAGGTGCTGGGAATATAGCGGTAGACAAAGTCCTTGTTCTCATGGAGCTAACATTCTAGTAGGGATACATCAGATCATTTTGCACCCTTGTTAAAAAGCCCTCGGTGACTTCCCACTGGCCAAAAATCAAAACAAAAAAACCCCTTCACACCAAGGTCCAGATCTGCGCTATTCCAAATGTGGCTATTGAGTACTTGAAGTTTAGCTAGACTAAACTAAAGTTATGTATAAATTTAAAACATACACTAGATTTCAAAGACTTACAATAAAAATAGACAGTAAAATATTGCGTTAATAATTTACGTCGTTTACATGTTGAAAAATATTTTGGTTATACTGAGAAATAAAATTTACAAATTAAATTAATTTCACTTGTTTCTTTTTTACTTTTAAAAATGTGGTTATTAGGGATCCCTGGGTGGTGCAGCGGTTTGGCACTGCCTTTGGCCCAGGGCACGATCCTGGAGACCCAGGATCGAATCCCACATCGGGCTCCCGGTGCATGGAGCCTGCTTCTCCCTCTGCCTGTGTCTCTGCCTCTCTCTCTCTCTCTCTGTGTGACTATCATAAATAAATAAAAATTTAAAAAAAATGTGGTTATTAGAAGATTTTATTTATTTACTATTTTTTAAAGAAGACTTTAAATTACAGATGTGGCTTATAGATTTTTATTGGACAGTGTGCTGCTCTAGATTACCTGGATTCTAACTACATCTCTAATCTACTCATATAACTCACCCTGGATGATCACAATGTCTCAGCCATGCTGGTCATCATCTTCTTATTCCTTGAACATAAGCTACTTCTTGTCCTGGGTTCTCTGCACTTGCTGTCTCATCTACCTAGAATCTCTTTCCTTGAGGTCCTTCTCATCCTTCTGGATTCAACTCCAATGTTACCTTTTCATGAAAAGGCTTCCCTGACCATGCTGTCTCAAAGAGCTCTTACTTGCTCTCCCAACTTCTATTATTCTCTATCATTTATTACTATTATTTCCTTTGGAGCATTTTCCATCCTATTCAATATCTTTTTTTGGGTTAAAGTAGGCTCCGTGCTCCATGCGGGGCTTGAACTTATAACCCTGAGAACCAAGAGTCGCATACTCTACCAACTGAGCCAGCCAGGAACCCCAAACTAACTAACTTTCTTTCTTTCTTTTTTTTAACTTTTACTTATTTATGATAGTCACACGAGAGAGAGAGAGGCAGAGACACAGGCAGAGGGAGAAGCAGGCTCCATGCACCGGGAGCCTGACATGGGACTCGATCCCGGATCTCCAGGATCGCACCCTGGGCCAAAGGCAGGTGCTAAACCGCTGCGCCACCCAGGGATCCCTTCTTTGCTTTTCTTTAACATAGGCTCCACACACCCAGCATGGGGCTTGCACTCATGACCCTGAGATCTAGGGTTGAATGCTCCACTGACTGGGCCAGCTGGCGCCCCTCAACTCTATTCAATATTATTTATTTAAATCTTACTGACTGCCTTCCCACTAGAATATAATGTCTAAAAGCCAGTGACTTTGTCTTATTTATTGCTATGTTTCTAGGCCCCATATCAATAACTAGCACATAGTCTAGACTTCATTATATAGTTTGAATAAATGAATTTATTCAATAAATAAATAAAAGAATGAATTTAAGTTGTCATCAGCATATAAGAATTTGAATTATTAGGATTGTAATTTATAACCCAAATCCCATTTAAATGTAAAAAAAACCTCAGCTTTCTTTTCTCTAAAGTGGGACTCTCAAAAGATAATAGTAATAGTTTTCATCTATGTTATCATTTATAGTCTATTTAAGCCTTTTAACATTCATAATAAGTCTATAAGGTAAATACAAAAGATATTTAAATTTCTATCTTCTTAAGCTGGAAGACAGTTTCTGTCTTCTTAAGATATAAATTAAACAAGGAGACAGAGGTTCAGGGTTTAGAGGTTTAAGGGGTTCACTCAAGATTACACTGAGAGTAAGAGTAGGGCCAGGGCTCAAATCTGATTTTTTTGATAATTGCAACTCTATGTCTTTTTTCTTCCTAAACTACATTTGCCTTTTTCTGAAACTGAAAGCAGATATTTGTCGATGCACTTTGAGAAATTGTAAAATGACATACAAATGTGCCACGAGACCCTTTTAAAAAATCACTCTAAATAACAAATGGTTTTTCATTGGCTCATTGCATGGGTTATAACCAGTGCTCGATGCAGCCCACTGAACCTTTCTCTGTGCTGTGGTGTTAACATCCGTCTTCCAAACGTGGGGCTACATCTAGAATCTTGCCAAAAATTACCATTTTAAACATGCGATGTCCTTCAGTTTACATTTGCAGATTTCAGTGAAATAACATCTTCCAATGAAGTCGACTGCGCTGGAAAGGGAAATGTGCAAACACAGTCAAAGGCACTTTTTGAAAAAATTGTTGTAAAAATCTCCTATCATGTAAAATTCACTAACTTAACCATTTTTAAGTATATGGTTCAGAAGTATTCACACGGCTGTATACTCACATTGTTGTGCACTGAAAATCTCCACACCATTTTTATCTTGCAAAACTCAGACTCTGTACCCATTAAACAACTCCCCATTTCCCTCAGCCCTCAGCAACCACCATCTACTTTCTGTTTCTATGAATTTGACTATTTTATATAGCACATATAAGTGAAAGCACATGGTATTTGTCTTTTTGCAACTGGCTTATTTGATTTAGCATAATGTTCTCATAATGTCATAGCATGTGGCAGGATAGCCTTCCTTTTTAAGGCTGAATAATATTTATTATATATGCATAGACCACATTTAATTTATTCATTTTCACCTGAACATTTAACATTTGTGTTGTTTCCATCTCCTGGTTATTGTGAACAATACTGCTAAGAACGTGTATGCAAATATATCTTTTAAATTCTGCATTGAATTCTTTTGGATATATATCCAAATATAAACACATACTCAGATGTACACACACCCAGAAGTGGGATTCCTGGATATATGGTAATTCTATTTTCAATTTCTTTAGGAACTTCCATGCTATTTTCCATAGCAGCAGCACCATTTTACATTCCTACCAATCGTGCACAAGGGTTCCAATGTTTTCATATCCTTGTCATTAAGTGTACTTTTGGTTGTGATTTAGCATGAATTTCGTAGACCCAAAGAGCTGAAAAAGACTCCAAAGTAGAAGAATAATATATTGTGTATATTTGTATCACAGTTAATAGCTGTGATTTTACCATAAAGGACAAATTTCCATTTAAATTTCTCTTATGTGTTCATTAATTTGTACACATCATAACCCCTTCAAGGAAGAATAGGCAGTAGGAAAGAAACTGGTTCTATTCTAGACTCTGGTCTAACCTCTAACAATTCATGTATCTGAGCCCTTATCTTATCGTTTACTACATCGATTGCAAGACGAACGGGTTAATATTTCAGATTTGTGTGTGCGTGTCTCTGTCTGTGCTACCAAAAAGAAAAAGCACTAGACAATAAGTCATAGAACCTGTGCGATAGTAGGTTCTAGATTTATTGTCTAGTGCTTTTTCCTTTTTTTGCAACACACACACACACACACTCACACACACAGTGGTATTCAAAACATCAACCCAAATATCTCTGCGTAAGCGAGAGCCGTTGGCTTTGTCATTAGGCAAGGCTACACTTAAACCACTTCAGAAAAGATTTCAAGAAAGGGAGAGTTCACAGCTTGAAGTAGATTTTTTTTTTTAAATGTCCAAGTTTCTATCATCACAAAGTTCATTTTAAAATATGATTATTAGCCTGCCTTCCTCTGACTCTGTGTCCAAAGAATAGCTGTTCACCCGTATCTTGGACAGTTACTCTTCCACTTTAATGATAAAAGTCTCCAAAAAAAAAAAATGATAAAAGTCTCAGTTGAGACCCAAGTCTTGAAAATTACGTAAGGGCATACATACATAGGCTGACTATGGAAAGAGAAAGTACCTTTTAGAGCTAGACAAAGGTATGTTTGAGTCAAATAAAGTGGCTATTTTCCCCAAATAGGTAGCAAAACCTCAAGCGCTCTACCTACGAAAGTGAGGAGTGTCTGGACACAGAACTCAAGGGGATTTAATAATGCAAACCAGTGCACAGCATTTGAATCAGCGGACAAGGACTGTTTCAGGGCTAAGTCTCTATTTCATCGCCTACAAATCTACTTCTCACTCGCGGAGAGAGGTTTGAGGGAAGCACACCGACCTACAAGGGCACAGGATCTGACTCAGCCTGCCAAGTGCAAATAATGGCACAGAACCATGAATATTCTTTTGGTCTAAAACCTCATGGAGGGATCCCTGGGGGGCGCAGCGGTTTAGCGCCTGCCTTTGGCCCAGGGCGCGATCCTGGAGACCCAGGATCGAATCCCACGTCGGGCTCCTGGTGCATGGAGCCTGCTTCTCCCTCTGCCTGTGTCTCTGCCTCTCTCTCTCTATCTCTCTGTGACTATCATAAATAAATAAAAATTTAAAAAAAAAATAAAAAATAAAACCTCATGGAGGGATCCCTGGGTGGCGCAGCGGTTTAGCGCCTGCCTTTGGCCCAGGGCGCGATCCTGGAGACCCGGGATCGAATCCCACGTTGGGCTCCTGGTGCATGGAGCCTGCTTCTCCCTCTGCCTGTGTCTCTGCCTCTCTCTCTCTCACTGTGACTATCATAAATAAATAAAAATTAAAAAAAAAATAAAACCTCATGGATAAGAACGACACACGCAGCGGCCTGTTCTCTTTAACAGTAGGGAGGATCTTGCCGGGCTTGACCTACAGAGTCTGGAGTCCAGGTCGTGGACTCGACCCAGTGAGGTCAGGATGGTCGGGCAGGGCACAGCGCCAGGGATGTGGCCGCGTGACCGTGATTGAACTAGAAGCATCACATCAGGACTGGCCACTCCGGCTGAACCGCAGACTTTGTCCAGACAGTCTGCCCACTTAGCTCTACTCCAGGGGGGTCATCAGACTGCTGGGAGTGGCCGGAACACCAAAATGATGACCTCCTTGTTGACCCCCCAGAGGTCCCAACCATATACACTTTGCCCACCTAGTTACAGGCTACCGTTGCCCGCCACTAGAAGACTTACTTGGTAGGAGGGATGTCTGTAGAGAAAAGGTCTATTTCGGTGTCAGCCAGCAACACCGCCTTCATGCCCCGAGAGCTGAGCACTTGTTTACAGAATTTGCAGCACAGGATGGACACGCACCGGTCCTTGAAACTGCAAGTGCTGGCAGACATGGCGTCCCGGCAAGGATGCGGCGCGGGATGGCGAAGACGGGAAACGGGAGCGGCACCTTTCCTAGTTTGCTCCCCACCCCCCACCCCCACCCCCCACCCGCCACCCGCGTCCAGGTCCGAAAAATCAAATCGCGAGGTCTGGGGCTGGGAAGGGAACCAGTCCTTTCCTGCTTTCCCTTGGGGGCCGCTGAGAGTGGTGTTACTGAGGAGCAACAGGGCGAAGCAGCCAACGTGGCTTCCCTTCTAACTCTCGGGGAAGGGAGTGGGGTGTGCAGAGGGGGGGCGGCGAGCCGGCTGCAAGGGGCCTGGGGAGCTGCTCCACGCAGGCTCCCCCCTAAGCTCTCCTCCCGCCCGGGCTTGGCCCCTCCCCGGAGCGCTCTAATTCCTCGCCCGCGATCGCCGGCCAAGCGTCCCCCCCCCCGCCCCACGCCGCCTCTTGGGACGTCTTCCTCCGCTTCCCGGGGTCCAGGAATCCCCTCGGCCTCGGTTCGTCCCCGCCCAGGAGCAGCCCGTCTCGCCCCCGTCCTCCCGGGACCCTCCGCCGCCCGGCCCGCTCGGGCTCCGGGACCCCGCCTCCTCCCCTCCGGGCGGCCCCCGCCCCAGCCCTCGCGCCGTCCCTCGGGCTCTCCCGCGCGGCCCCGCTGGCCCCTTGGGTCTCCGCGGAGCGCGCGGTGGTGCCGGCGGGACGGGTCAGAGGTCGCCTGGGGGGCTCAGTCGGCGCCGGGGTCTCTGTCACCGAGCGCGTCGTTTCTCTTTTTTTTTTTTTTTTTTTTGCTCGCTCTTCCGCTCTCTCGCAGCCTTCCCAACCGGCTGTCAGTTTGAATTGCCGGCGCCGCGCACCGATTGGGAGAACTAGGGCTCGCCCGCGTCCCGCATTGGCAGGCTCGGGAGGCTCGGGAGGCTCGGGAGGCTCGGGCTGCAGAGATCTTACTGGCTCGGAGACCGTATGCCCGAGACCAGCGCGGCTTCTGGTTGGCCGAGCTTGGCTCCGCCTCCGCGCTCATTGGGCGGCCGGCAGGCTGGGCACGCCCCCCCCCTCCCGCCCCCCTCCCCGTGGAAGCGGCGGGGCTCGCCCTTCGCGCCTCTTATTGGGAGACTTCCCACAGGGCCCGCCGGCCTCTACTCTCCATTGGCTGAAATTCTCCGCAACGCCCCTCCTCCCTGCCCCGCTCCCAATTGGTCGTGCTTTCTCTCAAGAGTGTGCGCTTGGCTGTTGGTTCCATTTTAATCCCGCCCATTAATTCTACCTCGGGGCTCGGCGGCTGTGGGAGGAGCTTACCCTGTGACCACGCCTCCGTGGGGGCTAGTCCCACCTCCAGCTTTCGCCAGCTCCTCCTCCCCATTCCCGTCCTCGCGGGATCGGCTATTCCTATTGGCTCCCGGGTCCATCGGTCGATAGAAAGTGGGCGTTGATTGGTGAGGGGGCGGGCTCCGCTTCCCGGCGGGGTCCTGCGGAGTTGGCGGAGGCTCCTCCGGGGACGCGGGGACCGATCTGCGTAGAAGCGGGTGGCGGGGAAGCGGGGAGGAGATCTCTGAGTGGGAAGCGGAGCCGGGGGCCCGAGACCCGTCGCGTCAGAGCCAGGTAAAGGCTCCTTCCCTGTCCCCGCGCCTCCTCCCGGCCGCCGGGCTGGAGCCCTGACTGACCGAACCGCGGCAGGGGCGGGAGGGAGAGGGCGCGGATGCTGCTTGCGGCGTCGCCCGGCGGTGCCGCCCGGAACCCCCCAGACCCCCCCAGACCCCCCCCCCGACCCTCTCCGGCGCTTCCAGGACAGCCCATAATACTTGTCGGGACGGCACCTCCCGCCGCCCTTGGCCACACAGCCCGGCTCTGCCCTGGACTGTGCCGCCGCCGCGCAGCCCGCACCCGGCCCGCTCCCCAAGCCCTCCGCACGCGGGCAGCCTCGGGCAGCCTCGGCCACTGCTGGGCGGCCGTCGCCGGCGTCACCGCAACCATCGGCTGCCCCCTTCCCCTGTCCCCAGGCCCTGGCAGGCAGCCGCCTTGCAGCGCAGGACCCAGGAGGCCGGGGCTTCCGCTGCTTCCGGGGCTCTGGCCCCGTCCCAGCCCCCGGCCCGCCGGGAACGGCCCCCTTCACGCGCTCGCGCTCGCAGACCCGTAGCGGGGCCCCCGCGCTGCCCGCACTCTCCCGCCCCCTGTGACGCCGGGGCCGCCTGTCCTGTGCTCCCCGCCCTCCCCCCCCCCCGGCCGCCCGGGCAGTCCCCCCCCCCTTTGCCCTCTCTCCACCCCCAGGCGTGCGCGGACGCCCCAGTCATCCCGGCCGCGGTGCAGCCGCCGGACCCCACCTCACACCCCCCTCCCCGCTTCCTGCCTGCCTGAGCCTCCGCGCCGCCTGGGCTCCCTCCTCCTCCGCCCCGCGCGGGAAGCGGGAGACACCGGCCGGAGCCCCCCCGCCCCCCGCCCAGGACAGGGTAAGGGGCGACCCAGGAGGGAGGGGCGCGTCTGCGGCACGGTGGGGAGCGTGACGGCCGGCTGCGCTGCCGCTGCCGCTGCCGCTGCCGCTGCCGCTGCTTCCCTCCCGCCTCCCGGGCCTGGGCCGGGGCGGGATTTCCTCCGGCACCTCCTGGGGCGAGGAGTCGGGGCTGCGACCCCCCCCCCCCCAGCCTGGGTCTGGGTGCGGTCTTTGGGCTGGCTGCGCACGGTGACAAGGAGATACTGGGGGTGGCATTTAAGAGCCACTCTGGCCCCTGGCTGGGGGGAGGCGGGGGCCGCCTTCCGTCCCCCGCCTCCGGGTTTTCCCGACTCCGACCCTAGCCTCTAACCCGTTTCCTGCTTCTGTCGACCACATTGTTTTCCTGGACGTGCCCCGTGCCGAGCTGGCTCTTTGCTGCAGGTCTCCTCCCCCCGCCCCAAACGTGTTGCTGCCAAGAGAAGCCAGTAACCAAAAACAAAACAACTGGGAGGAGGGGCGGGAGGGGAAGAAAAGTTGTGCCCGGGTGGCTTGTCCCTCCCTGGCTTTGATCCCTTTTGGTGTCCTGGGGGTTGCCCCAGCCGGGGGTCAGGGGCCGCGTCGGAGCCACCGCGGAGGGTGCTCCCCTCGGCTGGCCGCTCCCCAGCGCTGGCGGGGCTCGGAGGCCGCCGAGGTGCCGCAGTCCCCGCCCGGAGCCCCGCGTCCCCGCCGCAGTCCCCACCCGAAGCCCGCGCAGGCGGCTGCTCCGAAGTGTTTTTCTTCCAGCCCTAAAACAAAATCCGGAGGGAGCTTCCTCCCTCCGCACCTCGGCGCGCCGGGCTCCGTGGGCCCGGGCGGTGTTTGGCCGAGATGAATGGGCCGAGGCCCGGCTCGGAACGACGTCCCCTACCCCACCCCCGCCGCGCTTAGGATCTGCGCTGGGGCTCATCGCCCCCTCCCCTTTTCCCTGCATTTACAGGCAAGTGAACCGGAGCAAACGACTTCCGATCCAGTCTGCGCTGCTGCGGCTCCCGTTTGGGATTTGATTTGCAGCATCCTCGAGCCTGTGCAACAAAAAACCGCGAAGCACGCCCAGCCCTCCCCCGGCACCCTTTTACGCACCCACTCCCTCCCGGGGACACAGCTGGGCGCGTCCACACCCCCGCACCCCCCACACCATGTTGTGCGGAAGGACTTCCACTCCCTGCCTCTGTCGTTGATGTCAGACCCCGGGCCAGCCTCCGGGCGCTGCAGTTCTCCCGGCTAATGCTGAGGCTGCGGCTCCGGCTCTAGCACAGAAACCAGCCGCCGCCGCGCCCGGCCCCAGCGTCCACCGTCTGCATGTGCCCGCCGTAGCCTTCAGCCCAGCCCGCAGCCCGCGCCCCCCGGAGCGCTGGAGACCACCGCGGGGGGGCCCCTTCTGCCCTTGGGAGAAGCGGTCTTGGAGGTATTGATTTCGGTGGTTGGATTTTTCCCGTGGATCTATCAATTCATAATTTGAATTTGGAAGAAAGAAGGAAAACATGACGTCTCCAGCCAAATTCAAAAAGGATAAGGAGATCATAGCAGAGTACGATACTCAGGTCAAAGGTAAGGGCTTTGAAAAATAGCATCATGCATATGCTCCGTGGACCATTGAGGCATGCATTTCCACCCTGATTTGCAGGATGTTCATTTCTCCGGGTGGAGCAGGTGGGGGCAGGCTGAGCCCAGAGGTGGTTTCCTAGGTGGGTTTGAGCCTCCAAGGGATGGGCTGTGCCAGGGGCCACCGGCTCTGGAAAGGAATTTTTAGAGTGGGCTTTAGGTTTGTTCTTGTAAGGGCTGGCCCTGATTTTGGCAGCCCTCTCCCGCAAGCTAGATAGGGTGGGGGGAGGGGCGGGAGGTCCTTGGGGAGAGAAAGGTGGCAGTTTGCCTCTGGGTGTCTGGGTCAGGCTTCCTTGAAGGACAACTGAAATCTGACAGGTGTTTGGGAATTTATGTCAGAGGTTGAAGAGGAGTCCAGGTAGAGAAAGGCAGCCTTGAGAAGGTACACCATTTGGGGAGCCCCTGGAGAGGCGGGTTTTTTTTTTTTTTTTTTTTCTGGTGCACTATATCAAAAGGAGACATTTGCTATGGCATCGGACACTGAAAGTCTGTAGCCACCTTGGGTGCACCTTGTACCTGCCAGGTCTCTGGTTGCCCTGTATTCAGTCAGAGATCAGAGAACAGAAAGAATAAGGTCATTTCACACCCGGTCTCCGCCCTCACCTAAACATGAATGGAGTTGGGATGTTAGGGTTGCTGGGTGGTGCTGATTCTGGAGAATGGGAAGACATAATTGTTTAACCCTTCTGTGTTGTCGCTCTCTGCTCCAGAATGCATGCTTTTAAAGGCCCACTTGCCTCTGCAAAAATGTGAAGGCTAAAGCAAAATGTGGACCTGGAGAAACCAAGTGATCTGTCTACACATTTAATTGACTACCTGACTTGGTGCTGCATGAATCAGGGCCCCTTCCCAGACAACCTTTTTTTTTTTTTTTTTTTAACCAGCCATTCCCATAGGACGGGTTCCCGCCTGTTAAAGAGCCCCAGGATGTGTTTGTGCAAGGCACTGTCCCTTCTTGGCCAGTTACTGGGAAGAGCCATGTGCTCTAGCCCATTGAGATTTCAGCTGGGGAGTGGGAGAGGTGGGTGGCCTTGAACGTTACACCACATGGTTGGAGCTCTGGGTTTTCCTTTGTTTCAGAGTACAGAGGGAGGGGCCCCTCCTTCTTTGCCTGCACCAATGCAAGGAGACCTTTTCTATCATAGAGGACTTGGGAAGGGCCATGTCTCCCTTCTAATGATTGCCTGGGGTGGGGATAGTGTAGAGCTTGAAATGGGCAGCTGCCTTATCTCTTGGAAGGTTGGAATGTAGTTTCAAGCCCCCCTTTTGCCTGTAGGATCTTTTTAATGTCATCAGCTTGGTCAGCGCTGGAGGTGCCCTGAGGGACCTTCTATCCACTTGGCTGCAAATATTGGTGGGCTTATTACAGAGGTGGGGGAGTTGATTGATTGATAGCTTCAGTTGAGCAGGGATTGGGAGAGGTGTGGTTGTGAGTTATAATTGAGGTCTTGGCCTCTTGTCACTGTTCATAATCTGGACCTGTTTTTGTAAACAATAGGCCACTGGCCTCTGTGTCCTGTCCAGATGCACTGTATTCTGCTCCTGGAATCCCCCTTGCCATTTTAACCAGATATGTCATTCTATTTTTTTACACATCCTATTCTTAACTGTTGCAGTAGGGAACGTTAATAACTTTGACTTTCCCAGATTTCTTTCCAGAAGCACACCATTTGACTAAGGTGCAAAGTGATTTTATATGTTTATTTTTTGGAAGGTTCAGGGCTGATGGGTGTTAATAGAACCTTGTCTGCTGATTCCTATTGGTGAAAGATTTCTCACGAGCGTCTCAGAATTGAATACTTGCGTATTTACAAACATTGCTCATTGAGATGATGTAATGCAGTTGGCTATTTGGGGTTTCTCCTCAACCTTGCCGCAAGCAGGAAAAATGTTTTTGCTTTGCTCTGATATTTTCCACCGACACTCTTCAGGATCATGGAATTTTATAGGTGGCCGAGCATGACGTCTTACTTAGAGAAGGTGCCTGATAAAAAATGTATTTAAATGATTTAGTCCCTCATTTTATAGTGGAGGGGAGTACAGAGAAATTAAGAGGCTTGTCCAAGGTCACACGGCTAGGTGGTGGAAGCTGAAAGTAGAAGCTGGTTACTGACTTCAAATTCTCTGTTTTGCCCTATTCTTATTTACTATGAAACATCATCTGACCAGAGTAGGAAAAAAGAAATCTTTAAGAAGCCCAAATCTATCAACAAATAATAGTAGTGGTAATAATAATAACAGATTACATTTTGAGTGCTCATGATGTTCCAACCTGTCTCAGGTGCTTCATATGAGTTGTCGTGTTTAATTCTGACATCAACCCAGAAGATAGATACTGTTTTACCCTACATTCACTGCAGGAAGACACAGGCTTCGAGAGGGTGAGAAGACTTCCCAAGGTCACACGGCCAAATCCTGGCAGCTTGACTCTATTCCCTTATTCATCAGCCCTTTATTTAGTGAATTCTGTGAGTTCTAGGGGTTGGCGGTATAGCAGTGGCTAAGACAAAGACCCATCTCTTATGGAGCATAGGAACATATGTTCTAGAAACCAGGTTCTTCGTTGAAGAGCATCGGGATTGGAGACAAAGGACCCGGGTTCTAGGTTGGCTCTGCTCCCCCACCAGGTAGACGCCCTCAGTCAGAATTCTGCATTTCAGGTTTTAATGTGTTACATGAGCCTGGTACTGCTGCTGGTCTTCTCTTAAGAGATGCCAAGATAAAAAAGAAAATTGCTCTTTTGGTCTGGTGGCTAAGAGCACACATGTTTTTTTTTTTTTTGAGTTTTTGAGCTGACCCAGGTGTCCAGTCTCAGTTGGGCCACTTGCTCATCTTGCACCGGGGTGAGGTCCGTGACTTGTTTGAGCCTTAACTTCCTAACTGGAAAATAGGCAAAATACTGTGCATCTTAAGGTAGCTGTGCGGAGTCAATGAGATGGTCTGTGGAAATCATTTGGCATGGTATGTGTGCTCGCCACCCACTCTGTTAGCGAGCCCTGCGCCCTGCCACATCAGGCTAACCGTAAGGCTAACTGGCCCTTCACCCCCAGCGTGACCCCTGTTCAGGGATGGGAGACGAGTCTGGGTATGAAACTTGAGTTCTAGGTTAGGTTCCTCCAGTAGCAGTGAAAGGTATCTTACCCCAGAGCCCTCAGTTTCCCTTCCTGCAAAATGAACAGATAAACTGTCTAGTTGTTGGCAGCCGTTATCTTGTTCCTCTGACCAGAGTCCTGGGCTTTATGCCTTTTTCTGTCAGAACGGTTTGAACCGAGTGGACTCGAAATGGGCTCTGCGGGATCTTGTCTGCCCTGTGGCTTTTGCTTCTCTGTCAGCCACCTGCTTGCACGGCCCCGAGGGCTTCTGAGGCCGTGGCCAGGGTACATTTATGAGGGGCGTGCCTCGTTCATCAGCCTGCCTGTAGCCGCCTTCTTCAAAACCATCATTGTTTCTGGTTTGTGGGTGTTCAGATTCCTTTGAAAGTTCATGCCTCTCAATGTCCGACTCAAAAGCAATAATATTCATAGTGCTTTTACATGGCTCTTTCCAGTTAATGAAACGTTCTCATATCCATGAATCTCTGGAAATTCTTGACAACTCTGATCAGGCTCCTGCTCATAACCTGAGGCCTTCTGGCCTACAGCCCGTTAGCTTCTTGCAAGGTTGCAGCTGCAAGAGGTGGTACAGTGCAAGACACGGTGGAGATGATGATCTGGGGAGCCTTGGGGAGGCTTCACATCACTGCGTTGTCTCTCTGCTAGTGTTGTCCTCGGCTTCTTCTGGAACCCTTTCCTTTACCCTCGCCATACCTTGAGTTTTTCTAGTGCCCCAGAATGCTTGAGATTGACAGTTAATGCAAATATTCCAGGAGGAATCCTCTGAAACAGAGTGGTACTGTGTGCCGAGCAAGTTTTCTTTCTTGAGAACATTGGGGGTCTTGTCCTTTTTTTTTTTTTTTTTTTTAAATGTCTTAGAAGGGCAGTATGTGTGCACCACAGAACTGAGAAGTGAAATTCTCTAATTTCCATCTGGAGCATTTTGGTAGAAAAGCCTCAGGCTTTTGCCTGAAACGGTTTAACCTTTTAGGACCCTTCCAGAGCTGGAGACGAAATTTAAAACTCCGCACATATATGTGGGCGTGCATGGGCGTGTACACACACACACACACACACACACACACACACTTGGAAATGTGGATTGCTGGTATTTAAACAAGGTTGTTCCCCTGGGAGGTCTGAGCGGTTCTTCACTCATGCCAACAAAGGTCTTCTCCGAAGCTTCTTTCCTCCCAGCCCCCAGCCCCCAAGGGAGCTTTAAATATAATCAGTTTGTGAAAAGCTGCAGTAAAACATCTCCTTGGAATCCCCAAGCAGATGCTATCATCTTCCTGCGAGATGATTGAAGGCTTCTCTTCCATCGCTCAGGGAAAATAGGGCTCTGCAGTAAGCTGAACTCCTGGAAGGAAAGGAAGCTCTGGGAAAAATGAAGCACTCTGTGTGTAAGAGTCGGAGGAAGGTAGTGGGCAAGGAGCTGGGATGTTGTGTGCTGGGCAAAGCCGCAGTGTTGAGACGTGTGTTTGTGAGCAGCCCTTTTGAAATTTCAGACATTCTCCTAGGGCATGGGAACAGAAATCTCTTTGGAGAAGCCCATCTGGTGCTTATGGCCACATCCTCATGCACCGCACAGATTGAAAGCCAGGGCAGGGCCCAGTCATTTCTCTGCTGCCAAGTTTACAGAGTCAGACCTGGCCCTGATCTGTAGGATCCACACCCTTTAAAATCAGCAGGTGCCCAGCTTCTGACTCCTAGGCTCCCATTGTTCACTCCAGATAAACATGGGCTGCCAGGGGTACCTGTAGAGTCCTTCTTCCAGAAGAGGAGTTTTTGTCCTGGGAATTGTGCCTTCTTTAACACCCTAGACCTCCCAGGGCTTTGTTCGGAAAGTATTAT